TAAAAATCTTCCCTGGCCGTTCTCAGCCTAAGTCCGAATTCCATACGTGAGTTGCAAGGCCCAGAAGGACCTGGCCTCTGGTGACCTCTCCTGCCTCCTCATTCCACTCCAGTCCTCCACCTCCCTCCCCCTTAGCCAATGACTTGAGTCTGCCCCATGTGCCAGGCTCTCTCAAATGCTTTCTCCTCTGCCCGACACATCCTCCCTCCCATCCTGCCCCTTAATGCCAGGTAACAACTCCGCAGCCTTTATGGACGATACAGCTGTCTGCCTACCAAGGACATTCCTGGCTCCCTGGCCTGGGCCAGAGCCCACCTCAGTGCTCCCGAACCAGATGGGTGGGAAGAGTCTGGAGTTTTTGAAGGCCTGGAAAAACTAGACTTGACAGAGTTGGTGCCTGGGACCATTATAGATGGTGCTGGGAGTATGATATGATGAATACGCTATTTGAAGAAAATGAACGTGCAGTATTGTACCCAAAATTCTAAAGACATCAGTGCCATTTAGCCAACACTTGACTACACCAAGAGTAGCGAGTATCTGAAGTCCCTGGGTGGGGCAGACAGTTAAGCACTCAGCCACTGCCCGAAAGGCCAGTAGTTCAAATCCACCCATCGGTACCTCAGAAGAAAGGTCTGGCAACTGAGTTTCAAAAGATCACAGCCACTGAAACCCTAGGGGTGCAGGTCTACTCTGCAACACACAGGGTCACGGGAGCCGGATCTGCGGCCTTGGTTTCAGTGAACATCTGCTCCTAGGTGCACACTCTCCACCTTCTTTGTGTAATAACTCTGGAGGGCCCCGTGGGGAACCACTCCTTTTTCCACTAGCTTGTGCAAGGCTGATCACACCTCTGTGGCTCCAGGGAATGAGGTGTGAGTCAGGCTTGGCTAGCTAGGGTATCCCACCCCCTAGCCTCAGTGACTAGCTTAGGGATGGGCGTAAGACCTCAGGCTGGTCCTCCAATCTGGCCTTCTGCTGGTAGCTGTCTTTCCCAGGGACTGCTAAACTGATTATGATGTAAGCCTGAAGCCAGCCTCCGATGACATCAACAAGCAGCAGGGCCGAGAGATGGAGGGAGGGAATGTCCGGAAAGCTGATATCTGGACCCAGCCACTGCTTAGCCCGCACAGACCATTCAGTGACGGGAGCCAGTAAATCCCATTGGGGGTTAGGACAATCAGAGTTGGGTTTCTGCCACCTGCAACCAGGAATCTCGGCCCCTCTCTACCCACACACACAAAAGTGAACAGAACTAGGGCAACAACATAACAAGAGAAAAGTCCTATGAGTTGATGGACTGGCAGCTCCCAGTAAAGGTAATGTTCTGGTGGCATTCAGACCACTTTAACGAGAAGGTTCTGCCCAGCGGTTGGCATGTGACAGTAAATGTCATAGCCTGGCCACAAGCCTGGGCAATAAACCACCCAGGATGTAATAACCACTTGACTAGTCTGCCTCACCTGTCACCACCTGAATTTAGCAGACAGACCACATGTACAGTTTTCCATCCCTCAGAAAGAGACCCTGCTACCAGGACGGTTCCTTCACCGCTCTTTCCAGTTTGCAAGCTGGGAATGTGATGAAGAACGCAGCAGTTAAAAGAAGGTTTCCAACCCTGCACCAGCGTCACAACGCTTCCGCAAATCTCAAACTGTTCTAAAAAATACGAGGTCCCCAGATGCCCTAACAGCATGCGAAAAAGTTACTGTCGATTATAAATTATTTTAAATATCTTCTCTCTACACACACTGCTCTAGGTTGGGGCGAGAGTGAGTTAGGGCCTGTCACTCGTCACTGGTTGTCATACGCCATCAAATCGATCACAGCTCACAGTGAACCTGTGTGGCAGAAGAGAACTGCCCCACGGGGCTTCCCAGGCTGTAATCTTACAGGAGCAGATTGGAGCACCTGGTGGATTCAACTCTCAGTCAGCAGCCAAGTGCTTAACCACCGCACCACCAAGACTCCTTTGTCCCTGGTAGGGCGACCAATCTGTCCTCATCTGCTGAGGACTCTCCCAGCTCTAGCCCCGAAAGTCTCATGTTTGGGGAAACCCCTCGGTCCCAGGCAAACTGGGAAGGTTGGTCACCCCTCCCAGCTCCGTGTCAGATAAAGCCCTCGCCAGGTTCAACCTCCAACCTTGTCTCCCACAGCTGGCCACCTCCACCTCGACATTCCCACAAAACCAAGCGTCCAGGTTCCAGTGTTTCCTGCCCAGCCCCACAGTGGTGACTCCTACCATCCTTGAATACTCCAGAAGTTTGCAAGAACCCTGGGCCCCCAGTGATTCCTTGCCATACTGCGCTGCCCTTGTCCCTATGGCTGTCTCCCCCACCAGCTGTACATGAGCTCCCTGGGGGTTGAGCTGCTCTGGATCCACGGCCCAAGATGCTTTCTAACAGAGCCCCAGGAGGAGGACCACAGCTTTGGAGTGAGCACGCAGCTGGCATGGCACTTTTTTCCAAGTCACCCTGTAACCTTCTAAGCTCCACTCTACTACACAAATGGCCACGTTCCTCAGGCTGTAAAATGGATTAAGTGGATCTGCCTGATCCAGGGCAAGCAGCTCAGGTTTCCAAAAAAGCACCCTATAGACATGCAACCTAAACAATTAACGTGGGAAGTTCCCGGGATACCTCAAAGGAACCTGAGAACCTTTGCTGGCCAGCAAAGGTGCCCACTGGTGGTGAGGCTCAGCCAGGTCAGAAGTCTCCCTGAACTGACTTACGGGGAAATTGTATTCAAACACAGTGTAAGGAGTGTAAGCTCTGGAGTCAGACTGCTTTCTTGGTTCAAATCCTGCCTCTGTCACTTTTCAGCTGCTGTCACCTTGGGGCAGATGACTTAAATTCTTTGAGCCTTAGTTTCCACATCCATAGAATGGAAATAAAAGTAGTTCCTATAACTCTGTACACACTTATAAGGACTAAAGGAAGTAACACACAGCAATCTTTAGCATGTACCTGGCACAGAACAGAGCATTCAATAAATATTAAAGTAAGAGGGCTAGTCAGGCAGAGTTGGGTGAGAGTCTGCAGGTCCGTGGGTGCTGGCAGGAGGCAGAACCTTAGATAACCACCCTCCCCTTCTCAGCCACATACACCCACTCCATAGATTCCTGAAATCCTTCAGCCTCTCCCTTCCTGTCCAGCTGCCCTCACGTTTAACATTCTTGATCCCCAACACACCCCTGCACGGGCCTCTCTCCATCTCCTTGTCTTCTCTCACCACCACCTCCCAAAATCATCCTTTGCCACATAATGAGCCCTCCTGCCCCCCAGTGTTTGAGACCCACAGACATTTACTAATGTCTGCTCCTTGCTAGAAAGGGCACAACTGAGAATTACAGCTTCTCCCCCTCGCCAAGGAGAACTCATCCAATTCCCTTCCTACCGATCCCTTGCCACGGCCCCGTCTTCCTCCTACTGTCACCCTCCACCCCTGTTCCTTCTCATTAGTAATCTTAGGCTCTCCCTCTGGATACCAGCCAATTTTTTACCACCCAGGGTTTGCCTACTCCCCTCAAGGCCAGACTCCTCCCCCCCACACACACTACATTGTTCTTCTCAGAGTCACTCCCTCTTCGGAGGCCTCCATGTTCCATCACACCCCTCCTCTAAATCCTTGGCCTCTGCTGGCCTGCTCTGTGCATCTCCCCAATTCACTCGTTTGTTCACTCATTCATTCACTTTTTCATTCTTTAAGTATTCACTGAGTCCCGACTATGTGCCAGGCACAGTGCTAGATGACGGGAATACAGCTGCGAACAAAACAAGTTGTTGTTGTTGTTGTTGTTATGTGCCGTCGAGTCGGCCCCGACTCATAGCGACCCCTCCTTGGGTTTCCGAGGCAGTATCACTACGGAAGTAGGATTGCCCAACCTTCCTTCCGAGGAGTGGCTGGTGGGTTTGAACCGCCAGCCGTCTGGTTAGCAGGCAAGTGTCTTAGCCACTATGCTACCAGAGCTCCCAACAAAACAAGTAGGAGGCAGAAAAGAAGAAAGACAAACAGGTAATTCCAAATAATGAAGGAGCAATGAAGAAAAACAAAAGATTTCAAGGAAAGGGACTTGGGTAGGGGCATGCACTTTCAGTAGGGTGATCTAGGAAGGGTTTGCCAGGCTGATAAACACAGCTACTGCTCCTGGCCACCTATTGTGTGTCGGACACTGGACTAATCTCTTTTCACACACGACAATACTGAATCTTGTACAAGGCTCACAGTCCCCATTTGCAGACAGTGAATCAGAGGCTCAGAGAGGTGATGTAATTTGCCCAAGGTCACACAGCCATTAAGTGGTGGAGTGAGGATTGGAACAGAAGCCTAATTGCAAAGCTAGTCTCTTCACATCTGTGCATTCCTGAATCGAGAACCCCTTTGCCACCTGTTCTCTCCCAGAGCTCAATTTCCAATTGTGCCCTCCTCTTATAACCTGTTTCGTATGTTTTAAAACTATTGTCATTTATTGAGTCCTTGTAAGCCCTGTGAACTTTGCTCACGCACATTCCCTTATCCAAACCTCAAAAACACCCTAGGAAGCAAGTGCTGTCACAACTGAGCCCTAAATTCTCACCCGCACACTCGAACTCACACCTGCCCCACTCCAAGACTCCTGGCCCTTGACCCCTGCGCTGTCCTGCCAAAGAAGTACAACCCCACGGACGCTTGGTGCCCACTGCCGGTCCCCGTCCGGAACGAAGTCCGTGTCCATAAACTGCAACTTCGTCCCCTTACTTTACACGTGGGAAAAAAAAAAACCCTGAGAAGCCAAGCAACTTGCCCAAGGTCACACAGCCAGGAGCGACGGGGTCAGGGTTCGAACCCAGGCGTTCCGACTCGAGAGACCTCGCACGTTATCACCATACAGTCTTTCTCAGGCGCCCCTCTCCGCTCCCACCTCGGTTCTCTCCTCTCACGGTCCCCGGCCCGAGGCTATGCGCCCCCATGCCCGTGCTCAGCCCCGCGGCCTCCGCCGGTCCGCCCCCCAACACACTCACTTGAGGTGGTCCAAGGAGTGGATGTTGCGGGAGGACTTGCCATGGCCCCCGCCCACCCAGCTCCGCGAGCGGCCAAACATGTCGGCGACCCGGCCCCGTTGCTCGCTTCACGGTCTCATGACCGAGCAGCCGAGCGGCCGGGGCCCGCGGGGGCAGCTCAAGCGGAGAAGGTAGAAGCGGAGGTGGTGGAAAGGCGTCCAACCACCTTCCTCCCCGGCCCACAGCCCCGTACTGACATTCAGCCGGAACCGGCCGTTCGGCCGCCGCGCTTTACGGCCGCCACCGCGAGGAACGCTGGGAAGTGCAGTTCGCCCGAGAGGCCCCCGACGACGGGACTCCGCGAACGGACTACAAGGCCTGGCGTGCATTTCGCAACTGCAGGCCTCCGGCTCTCGTGAAGGAGCGGAGCGAGAGGAGGAGAGTACGCGATATCGTCAGATGGGGCGGGAATGAGAGGACTATGGGCGGAGCCCCGAGAAGGGAATCCGTGAGGATGGTGGTGATGGAGGTGATGAATAAAAGTAACCACAATATGAACAATTGCCAGCTTTATGATAAGAAAAAGAATAGCTGTTGTAGGGCGTAGACTGTGCGCCACTGTACTAAACGCTTTACATAGATTTAAGTTTTTTAACTCCCACAACAACCTTCTGAGTGTAGTTTTAAGTCCCGCGAGTCAGTTCTGACTCATAGCGACCCTAGGTACAACAGAACTGAAATACTCTGGTCCTGCGCCATCCACACAGTCCTTGCTTTGTTTGAACGTACTGTTGCAGCCACTGTGTCAATCCATGCCGTTGAGGGTCTTCCTCTTTCTCACCAATCCGCTTCAGGGACTGATAACGCGTCCAAGATATGCGAGGTGAAGTCTTTATCCACGATTCCAAGGAGCATTCTGGCTGTACTTCTCCAAGACAGATTTGTTCGTTCTTAGGGCAGTCCATGGTACATTGAATATTCTTCACCAACACCATAATTCAAATGTTTCAATTCTTCTTCAGTCTTATTTATTGTCCACCCTTCCCATGCACATGAGGTGATTGAGAATAGCATGTATTGGATCAGGCACATCTCAGTCCTCAAGGTGACATCTTTGCTTTTTAACATTTGAAAGAGGTCTTCTGCAACAGAGTTGTCCAATACAATACATCCTTTGATTTCTTGACTACTGCTTCTATGGGTTTTGATTGTGGATCCAAGTACAATGAAATCCTTAGCAACATGAATATTTTCTTCGTTTATCATGATGTTGCTTATTGGTCCATTTGTGAGTATTTTTGTTTTCTTTATGTTGAGGTGTCATCCATACTGAAGGCTTTGAGCTTTGACCTCTGTCAGGAAGTGCTTCAAGTCCCTTCACTTTCAGTAAACAGGGTACTATTACTATCCCCATTTTACTGTTGAGGAAACTGAGTTACGGAGAGGTTGCCTTGCTAAGAGGCAGAACCACAGTTCAAATCCGGACAACTTGACTTTCACTCCCCAAACCAAAACTGTACCAAATCTATGAAAGCCTCATTTGTCCTCATGGACTTTTTCTTTTTCCATTTCAATTTTTAAAAATGTTTATTAAAAAAATATCAAGCAACAGTGTACAAAACTGAACATCCTGTCCTTTTAGATGTCTCTGGTCTGCACCCAAAATCCATGCCATTTCCCAAATACCACATAAAAAAGAAAGGGTAAAAAAATACCATGAGCCGAGAATATGTATCTAAATTTACCTCCTAGATTATTAGTGGTAAGCTCTGTAAAGGCAAGACTGCCCTGTTCACCTTTCATTCAATCATTTCTACATCTCATAGTGACCTAAGGCCTATTCTGTGTCATGAACTGTGTGCTAAACAAAGAATGGAGTCAGGGACCAAAGTTTCCTCCCAAGTCCCAGTACAAGGTTCGGCATGGAGCAGGTGTTCAGCAAACACTGACAGGGTGATGACTGAATGAGTGAAGGTTTGTTCCACTTTTGGCAGTTGAAGAAAAGATCAGTGGAAGGTTACTGGTGTTCTCAGTACTTCATTCAGAGGGGTGACGGGTGAGGGAAAGGGGTGTTGGAAAAAAGAAAGGGCAGTTGTGTCCTGCAAACAGGCACAAGCCCAGCAGCTGTCAGGGTCCCTCCATTTCTCTGGGGTTCGGTTTCCCCATCTGTAAAAAGGGATGACATACTACACAGCCTTGTTGTTGTCATGTGCCGTCGAGTCGGGGCTCATCGCGACCCCTCCTTGGGTTGTCGAGGCAGTATCACTATTGAAGTAGACTGCCCAACCTTCCTTCCGAAGAGTGGCTGGTGGGTTTGAACAGCCAGTTTTCTGGTTAGCAGTGGAGTGCCTTAGGCACTACGCTACAAGAGCTCCTACTACACACCCTTATCTGGCCCAAATTAAGCACTCATATAAAGACCCAGCTTAGTGAGGCCCGACAATGTAAAGAGCTGTTGAACCGCTTTTGGAAGCACTTTGGTAAAAACTGGTCTCTGCCCATGAGAAGGTGGAAGGGAGGTTGACTTTTCTCTGTGCAGTTCTCGGTTGTTTGAATGTTTAACCACGGGTTAGTTAATGCGGTTTTTAAACAAGGTTTACAAAACAAAAATGAACAAAAAGCAATTCTACTGGCTGGTCTGCCCTGCCCGGGCGCGACCCCTAGGATACGGAATCCCCAGTGCACAGACCTTCCAATAAGCCAGAATTTGGAGTAGGGAAGTGGGCACTGACAGAGGTTTCCCATCACGAAAAATCGGCGCTTTGGGAAAGGCCCAAATTTTTCACTAAGTGTCCGTCGCTCCCATCCCTCCCCCCGCGCCTCACCTCATTTTTCACCCGGAGAAACTGAGTCCCACAGAGGCGTAGCGCCATACTCAAGCTCAGCAAGATGCAGAGGAAGGTCGCGGTTTCTTTTGCTTTTGTAGCCTTAGGATACGTCTAAGTTTGAATTGTGTTCAGTATTTCCCTCTCTTGGACTTGACCTCACCAGGTACCGCCTCGGAAACCCAAGGAGGGGTCGCTGTGAGTCGGAAAACGATTCGAGGGCAGTGAGTTTGTTTTCTGCTTGTTTGTTTTTGTTCGGTTTATTGGACTTAAGTCAGGGTCAGAGACCCGAGCCAGGAAAACCACCCAGCTACGAGATTTGGAAGGGCGGAGCGAAGAAGTGCCCGCCCCTGGACAGCTCAGGCCAATGAGCGCGGGCGCTGAGCGAACCAATGAGCGCGGCCAGGGGGCGGGCAGGCCAATGAGCGCGGGGCCGCTAGGGAGGCGGTGCTGGGAACAGGACTAGCAGGGCGACGCGGCGGCTGCAGCCATGGGCGCTGGGCCTGCGGGGGTGCGGAGAGGGCACGCGGAAAGGCAAGGCCCGGCAAGGGAGGCGGCAGCTGGGACTGGCCCTCGACGCTGAGAGCCGCGGTGGGTCCCCGCTGCCGCTGCTAGGGCCTGTGAGAACGCGCAGGCGCATCGGGAGTGCCAGGCAGCCGCTGGCCACTTCGGGGAGACCGCCGGGCCGTCGGGAGGGTCGCGTGGCCCCCTGTGGGGACGCAGTG